ATTCACGACAAAATTAAAGAATACACGTCTCAAATTTTTTTATCATGAGTTTCTTGAAATATCGAATTTGAGAAATTATAAACCTGGGGCTTAATTAAATATTTATTGGGTCAAAATCCATATCTTACACGCCAGACTGAGCCTCATTTATGGCAGAATTAGAGAATGCCCTTCTTATATTTTCATCGTGAGGTTCTTGAAGTTTTATCAAATTTGAAACAGATTTTTAAGTCAGTTTATTACGAAAATTGTGTAATTTTTTCTGGCGTGCATTTAATCTATTTGGCGTTGATGTAACCGATTTTGGTGTGATAATTTAAATTATTTACTAAAGTAATAGAAAAAAATAACAAATAAATATAGAACAAAAAATATTAGGACAAAATTAATATCTTGCACGACTTCTCGATTTTCAGATTTTTCGATTTTTCGATGTCTCAGTTTTTGACTTTTCGATGATTTGTCGGTTCTTCGCTTGTTTACTTTTCGGCTTTTCGATTTTTGAATTATCGGATTGTTTAATTTTCCAATTTTTTAAATTTTCGAGATTCGAATTTTTATTTTTTTGATTTTTTGAAGTTTCGATTTCTCCATTTTTTAATTGTACGATATTTTAGATTTTTCTATTTTTCGATTTTCAGTTCCTCAATATTATTTAATTTTTCAAATTTTGACCTTTCTGGATTTTCAGTTTTCCGATTTCTCAATTATTAATCTGTTTTTATTTTCCAATTTCTCGACTTCCCAAAATTTCGATTTTTTAGTTCATCAGTTCTTCAATTTGTCCATTTTTCACGTTTTTGACTTTTCCATTTCCCAATTTTTGGATATTTCGTTCAATTTTGTGGTTTTCCAGTTTTCCGGTTGTTCAATGTTTCTTCTATTTTTCAATTCTTCTATATTTCAGTTTTGGGATTTTTTAGTATTTCGAATTTTCGATTTTTCGATTTTAGCCTATTTCGGTTTCTAAATTTTTAAATTTTTCGACTTCTCGATTTTCTGATTTTTCGATGTCTCAGTTTTTGGCTTTTTCGATGATTTGTCGGTTCTTCGCTTTTTTACTTTTCGGTTTTTCAATTTTTAAATTATCAGATTGTTTGATTTTCCAATTTTTTAAATTTTCGAGTTTCGAATTTTAGTTTTTTTGATTTTTTGATGCTTCGATTTCTCCATTTCTTAATTGTACGATATTTTAGATTTTTCTATTTTTGGAATTTTCATTTCCTCAATATTATTTAATTTTTCAAATTTTGACCTTTCTGGATTTTCAGTTTTCCGATTTCTCAATTATTAATCTGTTTTTAATTTTCCAATTTCTCGAGTTCCCAAAGTTTCGATTTTTCAGTTCATCAGTTCTTCAGTTTTTCCATTTTTCAGGTTTTTGACTTTTCCATTTCCCAATTTTTGGATATTTCGTTCAATTTTGTGATTTTTCAGTTTTCCGATTCTTCAGTTTTTCATCTATTTTTCAATTCTTCTACATTTCAGTTTTGGGATTTTTTAGTATTTCGACTTTTCAATTTTTCGAGTTCTGGATCTTTCGCCTCCTCGCTCTTAGTTTTTGGATTTTCAATTTTTCCACTGTTTTGTACTTCGATTTTCCAATTTTTCGATGTTTCGATTTATCAATTATCCGATTTACAATTAAAGAATGAATTCTTAGTTAAACAAAAAATAGTTGCATATCAAAAATAATTTATCAAATTTGAAACAGATTTTTAAGTCAGTTTTTTTAAGAAAATTTTGTAATTCTATTCTGTCGTGCATTTAATCTATTTGGCGTTGATACAACCGATTTTGGTGTGATAATTGAAATTATTTAATATAGTAATAGAAAAAATTAACAAATAAATATAAAACAAAGAATATTATGACAAAATTAATATCTTGCACGCCAGATTAAGCGCAATTCACGACAAAATTAAACATTACACATCCCATAATTTTGTAGTTTATGAAAATACTGAAATTAAATCCATTTTGAGAGTTCGAGTTTTTAGAATGAAATGTTATAATTTTTTTCTGTCGTGCCTTTGTCCTGTTTGACGTGGACGAACGCGATTGTGGCTTTTTATTTCAAATTATAACACAATCGTAAACACAAAAAAAAATGAGCAAATCTAGAACATAGATTATTAGAAAAAAAATTATATCTTACACGCCAAATTAAACGATATTCACGACAGAATTAAAGAATACACGTCCCAAATTTTTATTATAATGAATTTCTTGAAGTTTTATCAAATTTGAAACTGAGATTTTTAAGTCAGTTTTTTTAGGAAAATTTTGTAATTTTATTCTGTCGTGCATTTAATTTATTTGGCGTTGATACAACCGATTTTGGTGTGATAATTGAAATTATTTAATATAGTAATAAAAAAATTAACAAATAAATGTAGAACAAAGAATATTAAGACAAAATAATATCCTGTACTCAAAGTTAAGAGCAATTAGACATTGCAAATATTGCAAACATTGCGGTCTTACTCTGTCGTGCATTTAATCTCTTTGATGTCGATATAACCTATTTTGTTGTATTTCCAACTATATTTCTATAAAAGTAGAAAATATTTGCAAATAAATATAGGACAGACGATATTAGGAGAAAATTAATATCTTAACCCCAAGTTAAAGGGCATTCACGACAGAATGAGCGAATTCACGTTTCATATTTTTTTATCGTGAGCTTCTGGAAATCATAAAAAAAATATATTACTATATTACAGGCAAAATCCGAAAAATAAATTTGATGATCTTTAAAAAGTATAACTTAAACTCGTATAACTTTTATGTTTATTTTTTCAGTTGTTAAAGTGATTGTAATACAACGATTAGAGATAGGACGAGATTAACTATGGGGAAATAGTGAAAACAGAAACAAATATGAAAAGCCTGATTCTACTTAATAGAAATATTTTTGATGTGTATATTGAGTGAGTCCGGCTACCGTTGCTTTGAAAACAAACCCTCAAAGCGTCCATAATTAAGTACAAAAAATGAAGAATTTCCGAGTGCCAGTTAGACAAAACAATAATAGCGAGATCATCCATAAACCAGCAAATAAGTACACAATAAGCTTAAACGAGGAAAATTTATCCATTTCGAGGAGATCCAATTTTGAATTCGCCTCGCTCCAGCCTTTATCAATAAAGACAAAGTGGATAAATGTACGAGAGGAAAAGAGAACAAATTGAGCGAATCATCTTGTGCTGTTGTGCGTTACCAAAGTTTCTTATTAAATAATAAAATTAATCACGACAGTTTTGACGAGTTGGAGAAGTGTTATTTCTAATGCTGCAGAGCGTAGAGAATCCGCTCTAAAATTCCATACTCGCTAGGAATGGATAAAACTTCTCCGGCGGCCATAAAGGGCGCCTTTTTACGCCGCGAACTTAATTAGACGTTATCACTTTTATTTTTTCGAGCGAGAAGAGTTAATTTAAATTCGGTTTATTGCGGGCGAACAAAATGGAAAGAAAACAGGCATTTTTGTGACGGAAACTTGGATCGACGTACACTATTCGATTATCAATTTAGTTAATTAGCGGCGGCCATAATAACGTTATTACCCTAATCGAGCCCATTAATTACCATAAAAGCCCCAAAGCATTCACATCCATCCATCTTCCGGCGAAATTTTCTTCCCCACAATGAGTGTAACAACCTTTTGAACCCGTATATTCCAAACATCTGCACGAGAAGGCAATTCCGAAACGCGTTTAATACGGACTAATTAAAATTAAGCGCTATTGTCGCCCTGCTCAGAAGTGTTGTGACGCTGAGAATCGAACGAGCACTCAAAAAACGCGAATAATTAATTATGCTAAAACAGTGGAACGAAATCCGAGATTTTGAAGGATTGTTGTGGAAATTAGCATCTAGGATTGACGGACCGGAACCAACATCCTGTGCCGCGGAATCATTAATTTGAATTAGAATTGTTTGGAGGGACCGAGCGAAGCTGGTCCTGGGATGTCAAAATGATGTAGACCCCAGAAATCTTCAATTTATCAAAGGGTGAAGAAAAGACCCGAAAATGCGACAGAAAAAAAATTAGATGCAAAAAATACAACTTTATCAATGTTATAATAAACAAGTTCGAGGACACGTAGAAGTTCATCGAGATAAATAGTTTCGTGTAAACAGTGGATAGTTAATTCTGCGAAAATTTTCGAAACGAAGTCATTAATAAATGGCGTGAACAGCAAAAGTCTGCGAATTGACCCTTGAAGCACTCATAATTTAGTAAATATTTTAGTTTATTCAGCTACAAACTTTTCTTGTTCATGAATAGTTTGAAACTGGTAACATCACTAACAAATATCATGAAGAGCAAGGGTCCTAGAATTGAGGACTAAGTATAATTTTAATTTTAAAAATTTTATTTATTTTTTAGTATTTATTTGAGTGACATTTTCAATTCATTGTGCCCCTTTAGGGTGCAAATCTTTTGAAAGTAAATAACAAACCCTAAGTAAGAGGGCGTGGGTGAACGCGAGATCCAATTTTGCCAGAATTATTTCGAAATGAAATTCCAAATTTTATCAGTCGAAAGATCTCAGCTCCTACTTAACAAATTTAAACTTAGTGAACTTTCACATCTTCGAGTTCCTTGTAGGTGTCTACGTCCTTGAACGCAGAGTTAAGTTGTTAAAAAAAATCGACACACTTTATGGTGCATTGTCCATTTTAATAACCATTAATTATATTATTAAATTGATTAATTTTTTTAACGAAACGAGTTGTTCAGCCCTAAAATCGCACTAATATGAAAAATTTGCAGCCGACTCTTGGCCCCGTCAGTCGTTTAATTACCCCCAACTTATCTACTATGTTAATCAATGCAAATATCGTTTAAACTTAAACCGATTTGTTCCACTTCCCCAAAACTTAATTCCGCCACCCAAACAGAATATTAAAGCAATTTATAACATCGTTAACCCGCAACTTTCTCCACCGCCGGCAGCCGCCCCCGACGACCTTTCTAAAAAAAAACTAACCAGTAACCAGGAGCACCCCCACGAAGATCCAGCGTCCGCACATCCCGTCGATTGTCAAAATCCCAAGACACTCACGCACAGCACTCACGAGGCGTCGCGACGCCGCCACACCATTTTCCTTCGACTTTCGAAAATTTTGGAAAAGCGTCCTGGACTTTGGTGTCGGCGTGCTGATGTTTGGAAGAGCGCGCGGAAACTGGAGAGAGAGAATTCGGTGAGGCTGCGCCGCGCACATCTCAACAGACGCAAAAGCGACGCCACTCCTACCGCCGCCGCCGCCGCCGTACTGAAATCTCGCCCCCGGCGTCGGGGCCTTTTTCAATAAAATGCGTGTGTCCGAGGCGGCGGGAATTTGCGGTGTCACTGGTGTTAATTTAGAAGGCAATTTGTGGCGACAATGCCGATTTCGGGGCGGCGGTGGCGGCGGTTTTGATTGAGTGAGCGGGGCGGGGGGTAACGAGGGAAGGTATTTAAGTGGATGTTGACAATCGAAAAAAGTTACAAGTTAATGTGAGGGAGGAAAATTTCGGGGAGATGGGCGGGGAGGCGAAGTGAGGAAAGGTTTTTTCGGGGGGTTTGATTGAAATTTTACGAGTTGGTAGTTCGATGAGTTGGCTGTGTTTGTCCCCCTCCCGTCGCTAGATGTACCGAATTAACTTAAGTTTGCATTAGCTTGCCAACGACTGATCAACAAGTCCCGCCTCTCTCGCAGGTTAATCTTCTAACTAGCTGTTCCAAACCCCGCCCAAATAAAACCGTCCACCAATCAGGTTCTAAGCTGATGCATGTCTTCTAAAAATGACACAATATTTCTACAAGAGAATAAATATGGAGAAGAAAACTGCATGTATTAATAATAATAATGATACTAAATGTAATTTAACAAAAAATATTCTCTTCTAATCTCAGAGCTGAGCCTTGAAGCACACCAGGCCCAATTTATTTCAACAAATTACAGACAATTTTCAGCTTCAATATACTAAATGCTAATACACTTAGTAAAATATTTTAGCGAAGTATTTAATATTTTTATTTATTATTTGGTTTAATCAAAAAGTTTGCCTTCTTCTTAATTGTTACATGTTATTACAAAATTTGTTTTTTTTTGCGAACATTTGAATGCTTAGGGTAAACAATCAAAGCAGATTCATAAACCACAAGTATAGGACTATGTTATTTTATAAAATTTGTATAGCATTTACCATGCAAAATTTTGAGATGACGTCATCAAATTGTTAGTGGGGACAATCAGATCTAAAATTTAAAAAATCGAAATATGGAAAAATTGGAACACCGGAAACTTGGAAAATCGAAAAACTGGAAAACCGAGAAATCAAAAAATTGAAATATCGAAAAATTGAAAAAATGGAAACATGGAGAAATCGAAATATGAAAACATCGAGAAAACGAAAAAGTGAAAAGTCAAAAAGTTAAAAAATTGAAAAATGAGAAATTGAGAAATCGAGAAACTGAAAATCTGAGAAACTGAGAAATTGAGACATTGAGAAATCGAAAAATTGAAATTAAAAATCGAGAAATCTAAACATTTAGAATCTTAATGATACAAAAACAGAAAAACCAAAAAATCTAAATCTTAGAAGTCGAATAACCGAAAGATTAAGAAATAGAAACATCAAAAATTAAAAAATAAATTTAACTATTCGGAAAATTGAAAAATGGGAAAATAGAAAAACTGAAAAATCAAAAAAACTAGAAATCGAAAAAATCTTTAAAATTGTGAATCCAAAAATTGAAGAGTCGAAAAAATTGAAAAATCTCGAAATTAAAATAACAAAAATTTTAAAAATCGAAAAATTGAAAAAAACAACCTGAAAAATCGAACCCTGAAAGTCGAGAAATCGTGAAGTCGAAAATCCAAAATCGAAACATTCAAAATTGAAAAATTGAAAAATTGAAAAATTGCAAATCTAATAAAATCTAATAATTCAAATGAAATAATCGAAACGTCGAAATCTCGATAAATCGAGAAACCGAAAATTTGAAAAATTTAGAAACCAAACTTAAAAACTGAAAAATTGAATAAATCGAAAAACCAAATATTTTGAAATTCAAAAATTCGAAAAACCAAAAAAATCCAAGAACTAAAAGTCGAAAAATCGAAAAATGGACAGCTAGAAACATCAAAAATTGAAAAAGATAAAATTGAAAAATTCAGAAAATTGAAAAATAACAAAAAATTCAAGAAATGATAAATCAAAAATTCTAAAAATAAAAAATTAACATTTCGAAAATTCAAAAATCCAAAAAATTAAAAATTAGGAAATCGAAAAATGAAACAATCTAAAAAATTAAAATATCCCAAAATTGAAACATCAAAAATTTAAAAATTTGAAAAATTGAAAAATTAACTTGAAAAGTCGGAAACATGAAAATTAAAGACCTAAAAGTCGAAACATCATTAAGCAGAAATTGGAAAGTCATGAAGAAACCAAAACTGCCCAAAATCGAAAAATTCAAAATTGAAAAACTGAAAAATTTAAAATTAAATAAAATCGGAAAATTCAACAATTGAATAATCGAAACACAAATCCACAAACCGAAAAATTAAAAAATCGAAAAACCTAAAATCGAGGAGAGGAAAAATCGAAAGATCGAGAAAGCGACACATCAAAAAATTGAAAAATTTTAAATTTAAAAATTCGGAAAACTAAAAAATGGAAGATTCGAAGACCTGAAAAATAAAAAAATCCACAAATCAAAAAATTAAGATATTGAATGTTCTAAGGGGGCCAATTCCAAGTTGGTGGCGCAAGTCACTGGTGCAGCGCAACTTTATAATGCTAATTTGGGTATCAAATGCTGGTTGCTAGGGGTGACGGAATAAACAAGCGCAATTTTTCGAATTTTCCATTGAAATTTGCACCATGGAGTTGCGGCACCTCTAGTAGGCAGTGCAAGTTGGCGCAATTTATCTCGAAAAATTGCGCTTGTTTATTCCGTCACCCCTAGCAACCAGCATTTGATACCCAAATTAGCATTATAAAGTTGCGCTGCACCAGTGACTTGCGCCACCAACTTGGAATTGGCCCCTAAGAATGCAAAAACCGAAAAATCTAGAAATCGAAGCATCAAAAAATTGCAAAACTGAAAAATTTTAAATCTAACATTTAAAAAAAACGAAAAATCGAAAAATCGGGAAATCGAAATACCGAAAAATCGAAAACTTGAAAAATCAAAGACTTGAAAAATAGAGAAGTAGAAAATGAAAAATTGATAAGTCGAAAAATCGAAAAATCGAATTGCCCAAAATATAAAAATTAAAAACTGAAAAATTTTAAATTAAAAAAAAAAAGAAAAATAAAAAATTCAAAAACCGGAAAACTGGACAATCGAATAATTGAAACGTCGAAATTTCGATAAATTTGGAATTTAAAAAATGGAAAAATCAAAAAACTTATTAATTATAAAACTCACAATTCGAAAGTCAGGAAATTGAAGAATTGAAAAATCTAAAAATTGAAAAATTGGCAAATGCAGCAATCGAATAACGTCGAAATCTCGATCAATTTAGAAAACGAAAAGTTGAAAATGAAAAATCGAAAAATCGAAAGATTAAGAAATAGAGACATCAAAAATTGAAAAACATAAAATTTAAATATTCGGAAAATTGAAAAATAGTGAATAATAGTAGAACTGAAAAATCAAAAAATCTAGAAATCGAAAACATATTTAAAATTGAGAATCCAAAAAAAAAGCAAAATTCTGGAAATCGAAAAATCAAAAAATCGAAAAATTGAAAAATTAAAATCGAGAAAAATTGAAGAATCAAAAAAAATGAAAAAATCCCAAAATTGAAATATCACAAATTTTAAAAATGGAAAAATTAAAAAAACAACTTGAAAAATCGAAAACTTAAAAATCAATAACCTGAAAGTCGAGAAATCGTGAAGTCGAAAAATAGAAAAATTGTCCGAAATCGAAACATTCAAAATTGAAAAATTGAAAAATTTAAATTCTAATTAAATCGAAAACTTCATATCGAATAATCGAAATGTCCAAATATCGATAAATCGAGAACACGAAAATTTGAAAAATTTAAAGCTCAAACTTAAAAACTGAAAAATTGAATAAATCGAAAAATCATATATTTTGAAATTTAAAAATTCGGAAAACCAAAAAAATCTAAGAGCGAAAAGTCGAAAACTCGAAAAATTGAAGAATAGAAACATCAAAAATTGAAAAATATAAAATTTAAAAATTCAGAAAAATGAAAAACAAAAAAATCCAAGAAATGAAAAATCAAAAATTCTAAACATAAAAAATTAAAATTTCGAAAATTGAAAAATCCAAAAAATGAAAAATTAGGAAATCGAAAAATGAAAAAATTAAAATATCCGTAAATTGAAACATCAAAAATTTAAGAATTTGAAAAATTGAAAAAGTATCCTAAAAAGTCGAAAACATGAAAACCAAAGACCTAAAAGTCGAAAAATCATGAAGCAGAAATTGAAAAATCGTGAAGAAACCAAAATTGCCCAAAAATCAAAATTGAAAAACGGAAAAATTTAAAATTAAATAAATTCGGAAAATTCAACAATTGAATAATCGAAACACAAATCCACAAACCGAAAAATTGAAAAATCGAAAAACCTAAAACCGAGATGAGGAAATCGAAAGATCGAGAAAGCGACACATAAAAAAAAAATCGGAAAATTAAAAAATGGAAAATTAGAAGACCTGAAAAATAAAAAAATCCAGAAATCAAAAAATTAAGAAATTGAAAATTCTAAGTATGCAAAAACCGAAAAATTTAGAAATCGAAACATCAAAAAATTCCAAAATTGGAAAATTTAAAATCGAGAAAAGTCTAACATTGAAAAAAAAATAGAAAATTGAAAAATCGGAATATCGAAATACCGAAAAATCGAAAACTTTTAAAATCAAAGAGAAGTAGAAAATGAAAAAGTCGAAAAATCGAAAAATCGAAATTGCCTGAAATAGAAAAATTAAAAACTGAAAACTTTGAAATTGAAAAATTTGAAAAACAGCCTAAAAAACCGAAGACTTGAAAATCAAAGACCTAAAAGTCGAAAAATCATGAAGCAGAAAATGAAGTCGTGAAGAAACCAAAATTGCCCAAAATCGAAAAATTCAAAATTGAAATAAAACTGAAAAATTTTAAATTAAATAAAATCAGAAAATTGAATAATCGAAACACAAATCTACAAACCGAACAATTGAAAAATCAAAAAATCAAATATTTTGAACTCCGAAAAATTGAAAAATCAAAAAAGCTAAAACCTAAAGCTATACATCAAAAAATTGAAAAATTTAAAATGTAAAAATTTGGAAAATTAAAAAATGGAAAATTTGAAGATCTGAAAAATAAAAAAATCCAGAAATGAAAAAATTAAAATATATTGAAAATTCGAAGAATGCAAAACTGAGAAATCTAGAAATCGAAGCATCAAAAAATTCCAAAATTGAAAAATTTAAAATCGAAAAATCTAACATTTAAAAAAAAAACGAAAAATTAAAAAATCAAAGATTTGAGACATAGAGAAGTAGAAAATGAAAAATTGATAAGTTGAAAACTCGAGAAATCGAAATTGTCCAAAATAGAAAAATTAAAAACTGAAAACTTTGAAATTGAAAAAAATCGAAAAATTCAAATGTTGGAAAACTGGACAACCGAATAATCGAAACGTCGAAATATCGATAAATCTGGAAATTAAAAAATTGAAAAATCGAAAAAATAAATAATGTAAAAACTCAGAAATCGAAAGTCTAGAAATTGAAAATCGAGAAGTCGAAAAATTGAGAAATTCAGAAATCCAAAAATTCAAAAAATTGGCAAATTGAGCAACCGAATAACGTCGAAATCTCTGCAAATTTAAAAATCCGAAAATTGAACGGTCAAAAATTGCAAAAATCGAAAAATTGAAAAAAACGACCTGAAAAATGGAAAACTTGAAAACTTCAGAAATTGTGAAATCGAAATTGAAAAGTCGTGAAATTAAAAAAATAGAGAAATCGAAATTACCCAACTTCGCAAAATGCAAAAGTGAAAAACTGAAAAATTTTAAATGTAATAAAATCGGAAAATTGGAAAATCTAAAACTGAGAACTGGAAAAATTGAGAAATTTTACGAGGACGAAAAATTGAAATTTCGAAAAAATTTAAAAATCCCAAAATTGCAACATCGAAAATTTAAATAATCGAAAATTTGAAAAGCAACCTAAAAAACCGAAGACTTGAAAATCAAAGACCTGAAAGTTGATAAATCTTGCAGTAGAAATTGAAAAGTCCTGAATTCGAAAAATAGAAGAAATCAAAATTGTCGAAAAACTCAAAATTCAAAAACTAAAAAATTTTAAATTTAATAAAACTGGAAAAATGAACAATCGAGTAATCGAAACGTTGAAATTTCGATAAGTCGAGAAATCGAAAAATTGAAAAATCTAAAAACCAAAAATTCCAAAACCTATAAACCTAAAAATTGAATAAATCGCAAAAATTAAGATTGGAAAATGGAAAATTTTAAAAAACTGAAAAATAAAAAGATCGAGAAATCGAAAAATTTAAATATCGAAAAATCGGAGAATCCAAAAACCCAAAAATCTAGAAACCGAAACATCAAAATTGAAAAATCCAAAAATATAACATTTAAAAAATTGAAAAACTGAAAAATCAAAGACTTGAAAAATGGAGTAGTTGAAAAAATTGTTCATAAAGGAATCGATTATTATTGCTCGCGAAATAAAAAGCAACCACTTAAAATGCGAGCGCAGCGAGCGTGTTCAGGTTGTGCTCAATCCACCTTAATGATCCTAATTTCATAAATGTCCCAGAAGTGAAAAATTGTAAAATTTTATATAAGGTTAAAAATAGACAAACGATAGACATAATAAAACAGAAACCTATTTTTTCTTAGTATAGGAGTGATGAGACGTCCAGAAAGCATAAAAGTATCCCTTTAATCTTTATTTACATAGAAAAAAAAATGCAGACATTATTATTATTAATAGCTCCAAAGCAGTTAGGTCAGAGTAGTTATAGAGCATATAAATAATAAAATAAATAACAATGAAAATATTAATTAATACATCGATTACAGAAGCAATTAAGAAATATTCTTGTCATAGATTTGGAGGAATTTTTCGAAGATTGGTTGCTGCAGTCGTCCAAAACAGATTCGAAATTAGGGCACCAACCCGGAAAAGAAACAGCAGAAAAAGCGAAAAGAAAATGAGTAAAAGCTGTAACCAGAAGACATAAATATAATGTGAAATAATGAGAGAAATCTCGTGATAAATCAGTTGTTAATGTTTTATCGCTGTATCGATTCCAGAAGTTAGTGAGAATGTACGTGATTGGAGTTAGAGGAGATGCGTATTTAGATAATGAAACACTATTAGAGTCTACGAACAGTGTACAAGAAAATTGAAACAAATAATTATAACACAGGTTTTTTCTTGTAGTTGGCGTAGGTGTTTCCTGGAGGAATTGAACACCTCCAACTTTCCGGAATAATAGCCCAAATTATATTAATATCGTAATCGAGGTAGTGATGAATACAACTCCAAACTCCCGACTGACAAAAACACCCCAGTCGCAATACATCATCATACATCAACCGTACCACGTTGCAGTTCATAAAAATTTCAACCGATTAGCTCGCTTTAAAATTATAAGCTAATTTAAGCTGCAAAATAATTACCCGCCCACGTACATAAGACGGCACTTCACTGCAAAACCATGAATTTATTAATGCCTCGAGGGAAATTCCGCCTCTTTTGACTAAAAATGTTTGCAGTAAAAACAAATTCATAGAAACATGGAAAGTAAATGTACGTTAACTTTATTTAATAGAGTCCTCGAATCCCAAGACTAATATGTAAATTTATTATATGCCGTTTGTGCGAAATTACTTCGTGAATCATTTATGGCCGCTCGTATTGTTGATGTGGTTGCGAACGTCGGTTCGAAAAGCTGATTCTAGTAAGAGCCGAAATAAAAACTGACGAAATCATCATGAGTAACTAGAGTGAGCTCTGTTAATTAATAATTCAACTCGGAAAAATTTAGAATGAATATCAAGAGCGGGATTTTCTCCTCGCTACTTTGATTTACAATACAAAGTGGTTCGTCGTTTACTTTTCATGTTGTTACCGGTCTAAAATGCACCTTACATTTCCAAACAACTCACTGTTGCCACTCAAAGCACTAAACAGTTCTGAGCTAACTTTAATCCCGAAGACAAATATCGTTATAAAGCAGTTTTCAGTAATCCAAGCCGTGCAAGTTGGGAGCATGAGCTGCACTGCTCTCGATCAAGTGCATTAAAAGATTTCAACTTACGGATATGATACATAAATGCGAGCGTTCCGTCTTAGAACAGCGAACTAACAATGACTCTTGAACTTTATCAGAATGGTGAAGTAGGCAGCCGTTCTTCCAACTTCCCTCCACGGAAACACATTTCTCGCCACCCTATTAACTCCCTTACACGTGCCACTAAATCGATTAAGGTTTATTTAATCTATTAGAGATATCGACCGTACAGAAAATTAGTCCCACTCCAATTTCTTTCACGTCGTTAGAGCTGATTTAATTATGAGCGGAATGCCTCGCCGAGACTCTAGTCTCGAACTTCATTGATTCCTTATAGGCGCTTTAAACGCGCTTAGCCGACTCAGTTGGGTCAAACTACGCAAGGTTAGCGCACCCAAATGTCGCCGACTCAGCAGCTTCAATTAAAAATTGATGGTTGTAGCGAAATTGGCGCAGTCAGTGGGAATGCGTCTCGCTACGGATAAATCTCGTTAAGATGCACGCGTATCCCTAAGTGAGACAGTGCGGTATTGTTGCGGGTGTTGTAGATGGGACGTGCAAGTGCCATGTGACATGGAATAGGTATCGAGTGAAGGCTTTGTGGTGTGTTTCCCTCTGAATACATTATTCAAAAGATCGAAGCGAAGAGCTTTCATGTACTGCAACAATCAATCCCGCTGTGTCAAGTGTCGATTAGATTAACGTTCTACTGAGTCGCAAACGTAGAATCGTTTAATTAAGTTGGATTGTTTAGTGTCTGCCGTCAGCCAGCGAACACTTGAAACTTCTTCTTTGGGAAACCTCCATCTGCGTTTTAAGATTTATCGAAAAGGAAAAATCATACTTGTTTGTGTGGTGGAAAATGTGTCATGTAGTAATGCGTAGCCTAGATTTCTAGGAGTGCATGGGTCAACGACAGGATGATCGATGGAACTCTAGCAACAGAAATCACACGAATAATTTACATGTTTTCATTAAATGTGACCCAATTAGCCCAGTTTGCTTGCTTCTGAATCAGCATAAATATATTTTTGTGACTTCGATACGTTGTGAATAAATCCAGACGGTAATAATAATAAAAAATTCGAATTCGGTTAAATGTGTATAGATTGTACAGTGTTTTAACGTTTTAGCATTTTAACCGCCCCCAATTGCCGCCCCTAGCTTTATATTTTTAAAAACAAAGCTGCCTGCCAACTTTTTCTGGAACATATTTTTTTTTTATTTAGTGTTGCCAAATTACAGGTTTTTACATAAGCTTATTTCTTAAACAACAACTCACAAATTTGTTTTCTGAATTTTAAACAAGTTATTTTTTTATTTAGTGTTGGAAGTACACTGTAATGGAACAACTCACAAATTTGCTTACAGTGAGATATGAATATCATATTTATTTAAATGAAAACCAGAGTTAAATTTGTATTTCCATTTAATGTACATTAGTGTATTTTTAGTTCCCGAATGTAAACGAAGGAAGTATTGTAATCGAGTCCGTCGGGCGATTTGCGATCTTATGAAGAAGAATTTACCTTAGTAAATGTTTACGTCATTTTAAAATTTTGCTGAATAAATGTTCGTTAAATTCTTATCGTGTTAAGTTTTACCCTAGAGTCGAGATTTTTGGTGAAAATCAAAATTGTATAATATTTTTCAATTTAACTTTGAAATTGCAAAACCTAGTGCTAAATCATGAATGCTTTAAGGTTATAGGAAGATTTTTTTTTCATTTATTCGATTCATCACTCATTAGTTTTTCAATTCATCAATTTTTAAAATTTATTACTTTCTAATCTTTTGCGTTCACAAATTTTCGATTTCCGATACTCGAATTTTCAGACTTTCTACTTTTCAGTTTTTGGATTTTTTGAAATCTCGATTTTCAATTCTTTAATTTTTCGGTTTCTGAATTTTCGATTACTAGATTTTCGAATTTTCAGTTTTCTGATTTTTGGATTTTTGTTTATTCGAATATTTGATTCATTAATTTTTCCAAATTTTCGAATTTTTAAATTTCCGATTTTTCAATTTTTTTATTCTTGAATTTTTAGACTTTTTAATTTTTTACTTTCCGGTTTTCGGATATTCGAATTTTCAAATTTTTACTTTTCGATTTTTTGATTTCTCGAATTTTCGATTTTCGATATTCGCATTTTCAGTCTTTCAACATTTAAATTTTTCGATTTTCCCAATTTTGGATTTTCGTTTTATCGAAGTTTTGACTCATAGAATTTTCGAGTTTTGCTTCCTATTCGATTTCATTATTTTTCAATTTTCTATCCATTTTTCAGTTTTCACATTTTTAATTTTTTTTTGTTTCGATTTTTGGATATTCGAATTTTTAATTTTTTACTTTCGTTTTTTATTTGTTCCATTCAGTTTTTTAATTTTTCAATTTTTTTGCTTTTCGATTTTTTTTATTTCAATTTTCGATTTTGGATACTCAAATTTTCAAACAGTCTACTTTTCGATTTTTCGATTTTTAATTTTTCAATTTTTTACATTCTTCAGATTTTTGATTTTCCAATTTTTTTCACCAGTGCTCTGAAATCGTGAACGCTTTAGGGTTACAGGAAGAACTTTTCAATTTTCAATTTTTCGAATGCTTGGTTCATCGAATTTTCATTTTTTGGTTTTTTGATTTCTTCATTTTTCAATTTTTACATTTTCCGACTTTTCGCTTCTTCGATTTTACGACTTTCAAAATTTCGTTTTGTTCTATAAATTAGGTTCTTGGATTTTTCGAGTTTTCGTAATTTTGTTTTTCGAATTTTCGAATTTTCAGTTTTTGATTTCCCGAATATCTGCCATTCTAATACCCTCCATGAATTTAACAGTTGTCTCCTTATATCGACCTCCATCGAGTGCCTTTGACGAATTCATAGCTATTGTAAATAGACTGCTTACCTGTTTGAATGTTACAAAAAATATTATCATAGGTGGCGATTTCAATATTGTATTTAATTCTAACAATACAAGGAAAAATAGTCTGTTAGATTTATTTCTAGGATATGGTTTAAAGCCGTTAGTTAATTTTAATACTAGGGGGAATAATCGTCTAGACAATGTATTCACGAATATTCAAACTCATTCTATTCATATTCAACCCATGAACTTAGGCCTCTCGGACCATTTGGGAATATTGTTTGAAACAAATATTCCAGTCAACCAGTTCAATGAGAATTCTTTAATCATTAGACCAATCACTGAAATTGGGAAATTTTGTTTGTATAAACATCTTGAAGCGGTTGATTGGAATCCTATCACCTGTAACTGCGCATATGACATAAACAAAGCTTTTGAAGATTTTCTCAATGTTTTGGAGCACTATGTTTGTATCTCGTTCCCAGAAAAAGTAATTAAACCATCTTATTGTAAACGCATTCATTGGTATTCTTACCATCTAAAAACTATGAAAAATAATTTATCCAAGTTGAATGATCTTTATCTTCTAACAAATCGCCTTGATATCAAAAAATCTAGAAACTCATATCGCAAAATGTATCGAGAAGCAATTAAAAACGCAAAAATCAGTGCTAACGATAAATATATAAATCAATCTCATAATAAAATGCGAGCAATGTGGTCTATGATTAATTCTAAACGAAGTGTTAAGAAAACGAATAAAATATGCGGTTGTAATAAAAGTGCTCATGATTTTAATGATTTTTTTTGTAACATCGCAAAAAATGTGATTAATAAGCTTCCTCATTCAAACTGTGATCCCATTATGTTAATGTGCAATAATAACTGTGATAATAGTTTAACATATTTTCAGTTTAGCGAAGTGTCTTGCGCTGAAGTTCGTGATGTCGTAAAAAAATTAAGAAATAGTAAAACCAAAGATATCTATGGTCTTAGTGTTGAAATAGTCAAAACCGTTCTGGATGTCATAATATCTCCCCTTACGAAATTAATTAATACAAGTATTAAAACACTTACTTTCCCTGACTGCTTGAAAATTGCAAATGTCCTACCAATTTTTAAAAAGGGAGAACCCAATGAGATCAGCAATTACCGACCGATATCACTATTGCCCATTTTATCGAAAGTTCTGGAGAGAATTCTGATGGGTCAATTATGTCATTATTTTGAGGAAAAGAATGTATTATGTGACAATCAATTCGGTTTCAGGCCCAGATTAAACACCTCGAAAGCCATTACTGATATTGTTAACGAAATCACAAATTGCTTTGACAAGGGTATTTTCAGTACAATTTCCTTTCTAGATCTTACCAAGGCCTTTGATTGTGTTTCCCATTCGATTCTGGTTCGTAAACTTTATTTCTATAATTTACATCCCACTAGTTGTCGTTTATTGTCATCCTATCTCTGCAATAGAATCCAAAAAGTCACGGTTGATGGAACATCTTCTAATTATCTCCCTGTGGAATATGGCGTACCTCAGGGATCTATTTTAGGTCCTCTTTTATTCTTAGTCTACATCAACGACCTACCATCCAATATAGAAGACTCGAAAGTTATTCTATACGCTGATGACACCACCATACTCAACAGCAGTAGCAGTCTAAATGACTGCATTGATAAAAGTTTGGAAGCACAATCTAAGGCAAAACTATGGTTTGATACCAACAGTTTAGGCATGAATGTCGACAAATCGGTGTATATGTTCCTCAGTCTTAAAACCAGTGCAACATTAAATTTAGGTCAAGCCAATACTGCACTTTTTCTTGGCATTACCATCGACGACCAGCTTCTCTGGAATGCCCATGGAGATACATTAGCTAAGAAACTAAATAAGAACACATACCTTTTGAGACAACTAAGTAATAATGTATCACAGAAAACATTAATAGTTGCCTATTTTGCATTTTTTCACTCTTCAATTGAGTATGGTAACTTAGTTTGGGGACATTCTACTTGTCGACACAGGATATTTGCTCTTCAAAGGCGTGCTGTTCGGATTATAGCGGGACTTCAGTACCGTGATGATTGCAGATCTGCATTTGTTGAACTTAAAATT